CCCAAGAGGCGACTGTTTGGGGCTCAAGAGGGGCGACGCTAATTAGGGGCATCCCCTCTTTGGTAAACGAAAACATGGAAAACAACACAATGGTTTCGAAGGATGCCAGCTGTTCGGGGGTACTTTCGGAGGCTTTTGGCCCAAGAGGGCTCCAATATTGCCCCAGATGCATTAAGATGGCCTCCAAGACGGCGCAATGTGGTTCAAGTCGGCTCTATATGGCTTCAGAGAAGCATCCAAGTGGCCCCATGCTGGCCCCAAGATGGGTCCAAGTGGCCACAAAAAAACCCCAAGGAGGCCCTAAGAAGCCCAAACCGCTCCAGAACCCAAAGACGCTCATCGGCGGCAGCCACCGGACCGAACCGAATCGTGCTGTGGGGTCTCTGATGGGGGCATTTTTAAGCCTCTTGGGGCCTCTTGGGGGCCTCTTGGGGGCCTATTGGGGCGGAAATCTCCTTTATCGGTTCGTTTTTCCCCTCTTTGGCCCCTTTTGGGGCCGTCTTGAAGCCCTCTTGGGCCGTCTTGGGCGCCTCTTGGGCCGTTTGGGCGCCCTCTTGGGCCGTCTTGGGGGCCTCTCGGGGGCCTTTTGGGTCGTCTTGGGGCGATGTTCGAGGCTTCCTCGGCATACTTGGAAGGTCAGAAGCCCGAAAACGCGGGCAAGCAAAAAAACATTAAAAAAACACCATGAACATGTTTTATTTGAGCCTCTTGGGACTCTCTTGGAAAGCCTCTCGGAGCGACCCCGGAAGCCGTGGTGGACGCCTCCGGGGGCGCAAAAGAGCCTCCGGACGCCCGAGGGCAAAATGGGTTACGGGGGGGGGGGGGGAATTCAAGAGGGTGTCCCGGCCCGGGGCCCTGGCCCCCGGTACCCCGGTATATGATAGATGGGGCGTGAGCAAGTGGACAAGCGGACGATCCTGGGGCCGCACTTATAGATGGGTGCGAATTCACGAAGAGACCACACTGACGAAGAGAGACCGACATGACGCGAGACATTGGCCAGCGTCGCCGCGAGCCGCCTGCTCTCCCAAGCGTTCGCCTGCATGGCAGCTGCCATGCAGCCCCAAGTGTTTCTACCAGCATGAAGGCGCGAAACGGCATCCGCAACCTCCGCGTTGGCGCACGGCCCCTGGTCCTGCGGGCAGCCCAGGAAAGAAAGTTGGGAGGTGCCTGCGGGCGCCTGGGGAAGGCACTTGGGCGGTGCCTGCGGGCAGCCCAGGAGGTGCCTGCGGGCAGCTTAGGAAAGGCACTTGGCAGGTGCCTGCGGGCAGCCCAGGACAGGCACTTGGGAGGTGCCTGCGCCCGACGGCGCCCTGGAAGCACCCTGGAGCAGCACCGCTGGCGCGGATTGACGAGACCTGCCTCTCGAAGGTCTCCGCGGCGCGGGGGCCCTGCGGGAACTGGTTTTGGGCGCGCTGGAGAAGGTCTGCAACGAGCTCCTGAACCGCGCCCTCCGCGGACATGACCGCGCCCATCGCCTGGTCCTCCAAAGCAACATAGTGAATGGACGTGCCGCATTTCAACCACCTGGACATCAACCTGTCCGCGCCGCCTGGGTCCGCCCCACGAAGCTCCATGCATCTCTGGAACGTCCTCCGTCTCGTCTCCCACGCCGCTTCAGCTGCTGCCGCCTTGAACTCTGCAGAAGGAGCAAAGCTGCTGGATTGAAGGTTGTAGGATGGGGCGCCTGGTCCACTCGCCCTACCAAGGGGCTCGCACGTGGACCAGCCCGGCCGCGTGGCCTGCAACAACAAGCAGTACGTCGCGGGCCCACGTTGCGCAGTCCAGAAGTTCCCGCCGAGCTTCTCGCGTGGCCCAACCTCCGAAAGCAGGGGGCGCGAGCGCCGGGTCGGAGGCCAGCGGCGCAATGGCGTCGGACAGTCGCCGCAACTGCGGCGAAATCTTATCCACTGCGTGGTCCCACTCGCGCGTTGAAATCCACGTGACCCTCCCCACGACCGTATCGAAACTCACCTGCAGCTCCATCGGCAGCTTGCCAACCACCAGCTCGTGGTCCGACTCCGCGACGCAGTCAGGCGCAACGTGCACTGCAAGGGGCACCCGCCGCCCAGCACACATAATGTCGATGGCCGAACCCGACACGTGCGCGGGCACGGGCGGGTTGAAAAGGCGAAGTCCTGCCTCGCGGATCGCTGCCTGAATGGGCTCGTCCGGAGATGACTGCGCACAGTGCCCGCAGCGGCAGCCCTGGGGATGCTCGTGGAATTGCGCCCGGTGAAAGTTACCATCGCCAGCTAGCAGAACCAGGACCCCGGGCTTTGCGCAGCGGTTGAACCCCCTGCTTGGAGCACGCTGCACCATGTCGCCGCACCACCACCCGGGGCCCCATAGAAACCGCAAAAATACAGGACTCGCGACTCCCAGCGAGCCTCGGGATCTTGAAAACGAAAGGTGCGCCAACGCTCCCCACAATAGTCCTCAACGCTGGTGACAGCGCCGGCCAACTCCTCAAGGATGAAAAAAACCGACCGATGCAAATGAAGACGATTGCTTTCCCAGCCAAATCTAAGGGAACCCACTGGGGAGGCGCG